CCGGAGCCCACTGAACCCACGGAGGGAGCGGGCAAGTTGGTAGGGAGTCAGCAGGTCAGAGAGGTAGGAGGGGGCAAGGCCATGAATGGCCTTGAAAGTGAGGACGAGGATCTTGAACTCGATCCTCTGAGGGATGGGGAGCCAGTGGAGTCGGACGACGGTGTGAGTGATGGGGTTGCGGAGCCTGGTGCGTGAGAGTGGAAAGAGCTGCAGAGTTTTGGATGATCTGCAGCTTTTGAAGGGAAGAGTTGGGAAGGTCGATGAGGAGGGAATTTCCATAATCGAGATTTAATGTGACGAAGGTAATGGGTAATGCGTGGGTAAGAGCTTTGGCAGCCTGAGGGGTGAGGCAGTGGCGGAGACTGGCAATGTTACGGAGGTGGTGGTAGGCAGTGCCGATCATAGCGTGGATGTGGGGGAGAAAGGACAGTTCAGGGTCAAACAAGAAACCCAGGTTCCTGACTGGATTAGTGAGGTTGAGTGTGCAGCCGTGGAGGCTGATGCTGCCAGCATCCGAGGTGCGGAGGCGCTGGCGCGAGCCAATCAGGAGGGCCTCGGTCTTGCTGACGTTCAGCTGGAGAAAGTTGTCCCTCGTCCAGCTCTTGATGTTGGACAGGCAGTCGGTCAGTGACAGGGCGGGGGCTGGAGGAGAAGCCTTTAGCTGAGACGAAGTGGAGGCGGTGTGAAAGGTAGGACCTGAACCAGTCAAGGACACACCTTAGAGGTTGAGGTGGGAAGAGAGGCAGTGGAGGAGGTCCATAGTATCAAAAGTGGCGGAGAGGTCGAGGAGGACGAGGGAGTCCTGGTCAGGATGTCATTTGTGACCTTGACCAGAGCAGTTTCCGTGCTGTGGGCAGCACGGAAACTTGATTAGAGGGGCTCATGAAGGGAGTGGGAGGAGAGGAGAGAGAGAAGCTGGGAGACATCGGCTCTCTCAAGGACCTTGGAAAGGGAGGTTGGAGATGGACCGGTAGCTGGATAGCTGTGTTGGGTCAAGGGAAGGTTTCTTCAAGGTGGCTGTTTTGAGGGGGGTAGGAAAAGTGCCAGATGACAGGGAGGTTGATGATGTCGGCGAGTAGTGGGGCAAGGAGGTGTAGTTGGGATGTAAGGAGAGGGGTGGGAACGGGGTCCAGGGAGCAGGTGGTGGGCTTCATGGAGAATATGGTAGTGATGATAGAAGAGGGGGTGACAGGTTCAACGGTGTGGAAGGAAGGATGCCTAGTGGTTGGAGTAGGGGTGGGGGGTAGGGAGGGGGTGGAAGTTGGAAGGGCAGTGGCAGCTGAGCGGATTCCCTCGATTTTACACCCGAGGAAGTCCAGCATTTCCTTGCAGTGGGAGTCGGAGGAAAGAATCTGTGAGGCGTGACAGGGGGGGCGGAGGAGCTGGTTGGTGGTGGAGAACAGGAGCCTGGGGTTGCCCTTCGCCTCCAGGATTAACCTGGAATAGAAGGACCATTTGGCCAAGGCATGAGCAGAGGGTTTTGATGTGGTCCAGCCAGATGTGCTGGTGGACTGTTAGGCCAGATTTGAGCTAAGTGCATTCGGCAGCCCGCACTGAGCGAGCGGAGATGGCTGGTGAACCAGGGTGAGGATCGGGAATAGGAGGCAGTTTGGGAGGTAAGGGGTGTAAGGGCGTAAAGTGTGGTGGAAAGAGTAAACGCAGAGGATGGGTTGGTGCGGTAGGTGGCCCAGAGAGGGAGGAGTTCAAAGGACTCCAAGGCAGCGGAGAGGGATTGGGGGAGATCTTCAAAAAGCAGCTTTGATCGTTGGGACTGAAAGGTGAGATGGGCTCCACACCCATGGAACATGGTGACATACAGAGGATCGGCAGATCCTTTTATGCTGACCTGTACCATAAAAAGTCCAGAGAGCACGGCCTCCTGTGACTTCTTGTCTGCCATCACCGAGGGGCTGGACAAGGGGAACTGGGAGCATCTGGAATACCCGGCTCTCTGGACAAGGTGCCATCAAGTCTTTCCAGACGGGTAAGACCTCCAGGGGCAATGGCCTCCCGGTGGAGCACTACTCAGCTCTGTGTGATGAGGTAGGCCCAAACCTGCTGGAAGTGTACAATAGTATGTTGCTGGCAGGGACCATTGCAGATTCCATGAGAAAAGGCATCAAAGGAAAAAAAGAATGGTTGGCTGATTTCACTGCTGAATGTAGATTACAACATCCTGGCCAAGGCAATCCCTGAGCAAATTAAGGCAGTACTCCGGGCCGGAGGATCTCTGTGGATTTTGTGTTCCAATGTTTTAAGATAGAATCGTTGTAAACATGTGTGGATGCATTGTACACCGGGGTGTCAGTCTCGGTCGGCTGGAGCTGGCACCCAGTGTGCAGGGTGTATGTGATGCACGTGCACATGTAGGTAGTGCAAAGGGATGTACACGCTGTCACTAAAGAGCTTCCCGCACCTTGGTCGCTCCATTTGAGTGGAGTATGCAGAGGCAGCCCCTCTCCCACGAGGGGCAGGGTCTGTTGCATATTGTAACAGAATATTAGTGTGCTGCTTTTTCTTTTCTATCACAGGAATTTTTCGATGTAACTGTATATATTCTATTTATCAAATATATATTGTTTAAATAACGCTAACAACAATTTTATAGACATTTTGTATTCCAATAAGCATTACCTTACATTTATACACAATCTATTTTCTATTTCTTAGTATTCACTAACATTCAAAGAGACTACCATGTCATACCAGATTACCATGTCATCCTCTTCACCTCACCACACAACCTTAGCTATCCAATTGTGTATAACAAGTATTACTCTTTGCCCTGTCGTTTATTAATAGTATAAACAGAAGAAGAACTAGATCAGGTCACTCTCCAGCCAATAACTTTTCCATTTATCATCACTAGGAATACTCAACAGGAAAAACGTTCATAGCAATCGGAATATTCAATAAGAAAACGCTAAATACGTTTGTTCCACAAATGGAGTGGACCATGCAACTTGCCAGTGAAAGTGATTATCAAATTACACAGAACTCCTTCACAAATTCCACAGCCATTGTATTCAACAACTTCCTACATTTGTACAAATATGTATTTGGATTTCATCCTAGAATCCTTCTGACTCCCTCCCTCACCTCATTCAAGGTCCATCTCAAGACAACAACAAAATTATATTGGTACAGCGACTTTCACGTCGAGAGGATGTCCCAAGGCACCGGACAGTCAAAATACCAGGCCAAGCTGGGGATCAGGATTGGGGAAGGTGGAGGGCAGGGGGGGAAGCAGGGTGATCGAAAGCAGGCAAAAAGGAGGGTCATGAGATGGGTCTTGAAGGAGACAAGGAAGGGGGCTAGGTGGAGAGACTGCAGGATGGCGTTCCATACAGTATGGGCAAAGTGGCAAAAGGCCTGCCTGCCAATGGTGAGCCGGGCAAGGCAGGGGACATGAAGCAAGCCGGAGCCCGCTGAGCGGAGGGAGCAGGCAGGATGGTAGGGGGTTAGGAGGTTGCAGAGGTAGAGGGGAGCAAGGCCATGGAGGGCTTTGAAGGTGAGGACCAGAATCTTGAACTGCATCCTGTGTGTGATGGGAAGCCAGTGGAGTTGGATGAGGATTGGGGTGATAGGGTCACGGAGCCTGGTGCGGGAGATGACATGGGCTGCAGAGTTCTGCAGGATAGAGTAGTGAGCAGAGTCGAAAGCATTAGAGCGGTCAAGGAAGACAAGGAGGCAGAGGGAGTCCAGGTCGCAGATGGATAGACCTACCTCTTTGACTGTGCTTTTGGTTATCTTTCCCTTTCCATCCCTCTTGACTCTCATTCCCAGCTCAGATGCCAAGCCAGTGCAGGCTGCAGATAATCCAGAACTCTGCAGCCCGTGTCTCTCCCGCACCAAACTCCGTGACCCCCATCTCCCCCATTCTCACCCGACTCCATTGGCTGCCTATCCTTCAGAGGATCCAGTTCAAGATCCTGGTCCTCACATACAAAGCCCTCCATGGCCTCATCCCACCCTACCTCTGCAACCGCCTAACCCCCTACCAACCCGCCCGTTCCCTCCGCTCAGCAGTCTTCAGTCTGCTCCATGTCCCCCAACCCACCCGCCCCACCATTGGTGGGACAGCTTTCAGCCACTGTGCCCCCAACCTCTGGAATTCCATCCCCCGGTCACTCCGCCTCACCCTCTCCTTAGCCTCCTTCAAGTCCTGCCTCAAGACCCTCCTCTTCAACCATGCCATCGGCCATCCCCCTCCCCCCCCTTCTGACCTCAGCTCAGGTCCGAAATGCTGTACTCTATCCAGCGCCTCGGGACATTTAAAATAAACTTGTTTTTTAAGTTACCTTGATTGAGTGCAATACAGTAAGTAGTCTCTTTCTTATGGAAAATGAAGCACTATGAAATAACGTCATAGTTGCTATGGTGAGAGTAAAGAAAAAGAATCAGTACAAAGAAGCAATACGAAGATATATGATTGTTGCGTTGTACCTTATTGTGTACTAGGAACATGCTTGATTTACAGAAATAACGCCACAGAAAGCACAATGCCAGTTATCAGTTGCTACAATTACAACTGGCACTCTTGATGTGGAGAGCCAAGATACACATCTGTCTGTAATTTATTTTCCTTCCCTCCTCTGTTGATGAATCATTGGAGGAGTTCCAGTTAATTTGTTTCCTCATGTATGAATTAAACAGAAACATGGAAACAAAAAATTTGCAGCATAAAATGAGGCTACTTCACTCATCTTGTCTGTACCAACATTACTTGTGTTATCAACCTTCATAATTAATCCCACATGGTGATGGGTTTTCACACATGTCAGGCACCTGACTGACCAAGCAAAAATTAGTCATCTTTCCCCACCTCAACCCCCTTGGCTCCCACCTCCAGCTCAGGTGCCCATCCATCATTGTTGAGGCTTTAACATATCCAATCACCTGAAAGGAACAATATAAATTTGTATTGTATTATGAACCATTTGTAAACATATCAATAAAGGGAATTGCAGATGTCCTTAATTACGTAATTAACAACCAGTGAATATTATTTATTATTTAACAACCAATCATTTTCATTGATGGTCAATCTCACAATTAAAGGTACATGTAATTCATTCTGAACTCAAGTTTATATATGAAACATAATAGATCCATGGCGCAGAGAAACCACAATTTAAAAATAAGATTGAATGCATTAAAATGATAGGGAATTATTTTTGGATTTAGTAGCCCCTTGAATGCAAGCCAGTGGCAATGGCTCATTATCTGAAGCAATAGAAAAGTGTGTAAATATTTGCACAAAGTTGTGGAGCTCTTTGCAAATTTTGCGGGGCATTGCAGGGATGATTTTAGCATTTTGTGGAAAATTGCGGAGGGCTAATTGGTGCTACTGAGAGACACATTTTGCTGCTAACCTACATCCGTATCTTCAACATGTTTCTTCATGCTCAGGAATAAGCTCCTTCAAGTATGTATGACGAAGCTGTGATGATGTTGAAATAGTCCCTTCCTGTTTCATGTTCTTGCATAGAAACTCTTGGAAGACAGGAGCTTTTTCAAGCAGCATGTCTGCTCTAGTCAAACACTGCACAAAGCCCAATATGAATTATTTTCTCTCCATAGATAATGCAGTGGCTCTAAAGAAGCAAGTTGTCAGAGCAAGTTGTCTTTGAGGTCCACATCCACCTAGAAAGGAAAAAATAAAAATTGGTCTTCATGATGCATTTGTCATTAGAAATGTTCTATTTGTTTTCGTTTGCTGTGGTTGTTTTCTGTGCTTTTCAAATTCATTCAAAAATAACAACTTGCACTTACATAGCGCCCTCCACGCAGGGTAGCGTCTCAAGAGCGCTCAACAATGGCAGAGCCTGACTATGAGTCGGGGGGGGGGGGGGAGGAGGAGGAGGTGACCGTAAGCACGGTCAAAGAGGAAGGTTTTCAGGAGGAACTTGAAAAAGGGGAGAGATGGGGCAAGGCGGAGGGATTGAGGGAGTGTTCCAGAGTTTCGGGACATAGTAGCTGAAAGCGCGACCTCTGATGGTGTGGCGGTGGGTGCGAGGGACGAGCACGAGGACGGTACCAGTCGAGCAGAGGTGCCGGATGGTGGATTCGGGAGTGAAGATCAGAGAAAAAGGAAGATTAGCTTTTGTAATCATACAAATTAAGATTTTCTTTCAAAATTAAATGTATATACGAAAATTATTTGACCTTTTTTCCTTATTGCCGCTGCCTTGCATTCACAATGTTTCCGAGATTTCATGTGCTCATCAATGGTGTACTCGCAAACATGGTTAACTGTGTATCAGCAAATGCAGCAAAACAACAGCACACCTTCTTCATGAAAGTCATCTGGATAGAGTACAATTCTATCTGAGCGACAGAATGAAAATGAGAAGTGCTGTCCCTGTGCTTCCTCACAGGATTTACAAAAACGTTTGTACATTTTTGTATTGGACAACCTAAAAAGTGAAACAACCCTGGTTAAAACTATAGGTATATATTTCCTGAAAATGTAGTTATGTTTAAAATACTAAATATTTTAATTTGAATAGTACAGCACTTACCAAGTATTCGTGGCAGTATAGAAGTGTGACGCAGCTGCTTTTCCTATCGAGGTTCACTCGCCAGCAAAGTTGATTTCCCACTCACGCTGCTTCTGCGATCCCAAAATTCACCTCGCCGCCTTGCGCGATTGGAGTCGCTCCGGCTATAGTAGTGGCATTGAGCAAACAACATGAGAGGCCTGGGGCCTAGCGCACTGTGTGTATAGTACCTGAGGGGCTGGAGCAGATTTGTTGCGGACGAGGACCGTTGTAGCGGAAAATGCGGGGAAAGTGCGCCCCACTTGTCTATTGGCCCAGCTCATTATCAAAACGGACCCAGACAAATAATGCAATTCCAGAAATACTCAGCAGATTAATGCTTCTAGTTCTCAATAAATCAACTATTCCCAGGGCAACTGATGAAAAACGTGCCACTTCAATGAAATAGTCTTGCAAAGCCACAATACTGTTACATACAATATCCCTACATATTGTGAGAAACAACCGACCCTTTATTTCCATGTACTTTTGCACTATCAGAACAGAAACAGTGAGTAAAGTTCTGATATGGTTTGAAAGAAAAACAATCATGAAATACCATAATTTGACCTAGCGATGGAGAACGTGGTGGGTCAGCACAAAGTCCTTTTCTACTTCAAATAACAGATGTGAGTTTCTTTTCAATCAACTGTAAGGTTTTAGGTCAGTCCCAATTTTAGTGTGTGGAGTGTACAGGGCATAAGCCCACATAATTCAGCAGCAATTGGCACTCAGTCAGTAGGAAATGGAATTCACACCCACGTAAAAGAGCTTTCTCAAGATTAGCAGTTGAGCTGCGCTACTAGAGCAGCAGTGAGAGTTTCATCTTGCATCTCATTCCATTCTTATACTTACTGCTCTGGGTCACAGCATACTCCTTCCTCTCTCTAAATCCACAAAATGTATTTCCAAGTATGAGCAGGTTACAATGACATTACTAAAATGTTTTAAAAGTTTTAAAATCTGCATGTGGGTCTTTTGTAATACTGCATATTTGTAAAGCACTCGATTCAGGAAAATACGCTCCTTTCAGAAACAAAGGTTTTCATTTATCAATGTTCAATGCAGTTATAATTCACTTTTGGGATCATACCACAGAAGATCTCTCCCTAAGCAGAAATCAGGCAGCTTTGGCCACCAAAAGATATCAACATTGCATAGAAAAATGAGAAATGTTTATTCCCCAGCACAAGTATGGCTTGCGACCCAAAATTAAACACATATAATAATCCTCAAAATCCTTACATTTGAAATAGCTCCTTTTATGCTGAGAGGATACTTCAAAGTGTTTCACAGGGTACAGTGTACAGTAGAGTGACTATGCATTTTGTAGGCAAACAAGAATAATAGTAAAATGATGAGAATGTATAAGAGGCTTGAAATTACTGCTGCAGAACCTTTCAATACAACATTGAGTCAGTATCAGTATCCCTGGTCCACCAACACAATTAATGAATCCTATGCATATTAATGGTTACTGCATAAAACAACCTGCACACTCAATATGTTTCCAGTATTGGAATACAGTGTAAGAAAAGACACTGTAACAGACAGATTAGCTGTTCATTGTTACTTGTCTGGGTGTATCAGTGTCAATTTCAAGAGTTTTTTAAAAAAATATAAGTTTCAATAAAGTCAACGGTAGTTTATGTTCATGTAAACAGCAATTTCTTCTCCCTCCATGCAACTGGCAAGATTTTAGCTGCTGTTATTTGATGTAAGCTGGAAACAGCAAGTAATGAAGTTACTTGTTGTGTTTGTCACAATTAGCAATTTCAGTGGTGTATGAAGCATATATCTTACCATGGAATTGAATATTGCAAACATGTTTGGTTTGCTCAAGAGAAAGCCTTGGATCTTGATTCTGGGGCTCGATACATATCCAAAGCCAGGCATCTCAGTGTATCTGCAAACTGCCAGGCCACACTAGTCCATTCACCACAATTCAAAAAAGATGCAGCCAGCTATCATGAATGAAGCAGCATAAATATGTAGCTAAATCTCCATATTTATGTCAAAAATTATAGCTTCACCTCAGTAATCTATAGCGATCCATAAAGTTCACAGAGTTATGATTAATGATGTTAAGAGTTTGTTGGAGCATCCTTAAGGCAATGGGAAATCTAGAAATTGCTAGTCATGAGCTATACCGCAGCACAAATTTCAAAATCATTCTGCGTTACCTGGAGCTATCGGGGTCAAATGATAGTAAGATATTTGCCCTTTCCACAAGTGTTTGACTGCAATCTGTCACTTACAACAAGAACAATAAATTGCATTTATATAACGCCTTTCACACCAGGAAGACATTCCAAGGTAGTTAAGAGTTTGCACCTGAACTTGGGGGTTGGTTGGAAGGGTGTTGCCCAAGGGGGAGGGGGAAAAAGATGACTGCAGGTCTTGAGATGAACCTTGTAGGAGGCGAGGGAAGGGACAAGACAAAGGTACTCCAAGATGGAGCTCCAAAGTGTGGCCTGAGATGCTCAAGGCATGACAACACTAATGGACTGGGCTGGGCGTGTATGTACCTGCTGAGCGAGGGAGCTGGTGGGTTGGTATGATTTAGACAGTCATAGAGGTACGGTGGGGCAAGACTGTGGAGTGATTTGAAAGTGAGCACACGGATCTTGAACTCTCTGCTCGAGGATGGGTGACAGACTCACAGAGCAGGAGAGGACACGAGCTGCAGAGAAATCAATGGTCTGCAGTTTGTGGAGAGAATATTGAGCAGTGCGTTGGTATAATGAAGCCTGGAAATAATAAAAGCATGGATAAGGGTCTCAGCGGTCTGAGGAGAGAGGTATTGAAGCGGCAAAATTGCGGAAGTGGGGAAAAGCTGAATGGGTCAGAGCACCGATGTAGAGTTTAAAGGACAGTTGAGTCGAAGTAGACACCGAGGTTCTGCGCTGGCTCCGTGAGGTTGGAGTGTGCATTCATGTAGATTGATGCTGTCAGTGCCTGAGGTGGGAAGGCACTGACAGGAGCCAAGCAGGAGAGCCTCTGTCATGTTGATATTCAACTGGAGAATGTTAGCTCTCATCCAGGACTTGATGGCCGACAGGCAATCAGTCAGAACAACAGTGGCCTGAAATCGAGGGAGAAGGCAGAGATAGAGTTGGATGTCCTCCACATACATGTGGAAATTAATTTGAAAGAAAACTTTTATGAAATGTTTTATTGTGTTAATAATATGAATGCAAATGACTATATTGACTTGGAAAGCAGGTTCTCTATTGTGGCAGCTATAGGCTTTAATTCCTAACTCTTAGACAGTGCCCCCCCCAAAAAAAAATTCATTCACAAGAGCAAATTTGAATGGCTTTCCATGGTAACTAACAGAAATAATTTTGGTCAAATGTATTGTAATAATGTATATCAAGTGCAAGGATTATCATCAATTGCAAGGATTATTATTAATACTGATAATCAAAAACTGTAACAAAAGGCTTTAGCTTTTTTTGAAAGATCTAGAAAGTTAAATAATCGTGGCCTTGAACCAATGAGCTGCAATAGTCATTTTTGGAGCAGAGTGCTGGTAAGAAAGTCATGAAATTCAGTCATATAAGTCATGTAAAGGCATTCTCAATGCAGGTGTAAGTGTCTCAAAGAACTGCTGTAATATTATTAGCACTGGATTCAATATACAATATTCATGAGGCTGCTACCAGCTGCCAGACACCATCACATTTTGAATTTAACAACTGAAATCAAGCCAGGAAATCACTAATGGCTCTTGATACTGCTACAAGTTCAGCTGGCAGTGATTATTCCAGGGTTGGGCATTGCTGGATTGGCCTTCTGGCTCTTTTAAAGCTCCAACTCAAATTACAATAAATGGAGCTGCCCCTGGGCACACTTATGCCACACCTGTAAATTATCAGCAGAGGGATTGCTGTTGGGACAGAAATGGAAGCAAAATTACCTGTCTCTGGGAGCTGGTTTACATTACTTAAAAAGCAAATTCCTTTGTAATTTTCTTTTGAATAATAAATGAGAATCTACAGTACTTGGTACAAAAAGCCTTTTCTTCTAATCACAATTCAAATTGAAATGCACATGTGCGCACACACACACACTGGCACAATTTTTTCATCTAAATTCTGCTATTTGTTCAAAATTTCTTAAAAATTTTGCCCACAAAAATTTACAGTCAAATCACTTTACAGTATATTCTGTGAAGCACTTTGATACTTCTTGACACTCAATAAGGTGCTATATGAAATGCAAGGATTATTATTATATAACTAGCACCTACACTGCAGAAAGTTGTGCAGAACTACAAGTAGATTAATACATTAAAGGCAGAGGCACCGATTTTTTGCACTCCTGCCAGCCAGCTCATGAAAGCACCTCCCTTTGAGCATTTTGACAAACAAGGAATTAGTATTTTGGGGGGAATACATGCAGATATAATGCAGAGTACCATCATCTCGCTTAAGAGTATCCAAACCAGGAGAATCATAGAATATTACTCATAGAAGGAGGCCCTTTGGCCCATCATGCCCGTGCCGGCTCTTTGGAAGAGCTACCCAATCAGTCCCACTCCTCGATCTTTCCCCACATCCTTGCAAATTTTTTCTCTTCAAGTACCTATCTAATTCTGTTTTGAAAATTCTTATTGAATCTGTTTCCATCACCCTTTCAGGCAGTGTATTCCAGAACGTAACAACTCTGTGTAAAAAAAATGTCTCATCATCTCCCCTTTGGTTCTTTTGCCAATTATCTTAAATCTATGTCCCCTTGTTGCCAAACTACCTGCCAGTGGAAACATTTTCTCCCTATCTACTCTATCAAAACCCCTCATAATTTTGAACACCTCTATCAAAATCTACCCTTAACCTTCTCTGCTCTAAGAACAATCCGAGCTTCTCTAGACTCTCCACATAACTAAAGTCCCTCATCCCCGATACCAGTCTGGCAAATCTCCTCTGCACCTTCTCCAAGGTATCCTCAGTGTTGTCACGCCTTGAGCCTTGATATCCTTCCTAAAGTGTGGTGCCCAGAGTTGGACACAACACTCCAGCTGAAGCCTAACTAGTGACTTATAAAGGTTTAGCAGAATTTCCTTGCTTTTGTACCCTATGCCTTTATTTATGAAGCCAAGGATCCCATATGCTTTTTTAAACAGTTCTATCAACCTATCCTGCCACCTACAAAGACCTGTGTATGTGAACCTCCAGGTATCTCTGCTCCTGTACTCCCTTTAAAACTGTACCATTTATTGTATATTGCTTCTCATCATTCTTCCTCCCAAAATGCATCACCTCGCACTCTGCATTAAATTTCCTCTGCCATATGTCTGCCCATTTCACCAGTCTGTCTATGTCCCCCTGGAGTCTGCTACCATTCTCCTCACTGTTTATGACATTCCCAAGTTTTGTGTCATCTGCAATCTTTAAAATTTTGCTTTCTGTACACAAGTCCAAGTCATTTATGTATATCAAAAAGAGCAGTGGACCTAATACCGACCCCTGGAGGACACCACTGTATACTTCCCTCCAGTCTGAAAAACAACCATTCACCACTACCCTCTAAGAATAGCAATTTTTGGGGGGGCGGTCAGCCAGGTGCCTGAAACATGAGGAAACCCATCACTATGCCTAAGAGTAACCAAACCAAACTGAGAATTCCGTGCATCCCACCAACACATGGAAATTGCAGAGATAGATTGTTGGAATGAAGTGTACACTCTCTCATGCAAACAAAAACAGAGATCGCTGGGAACACTCAGCAGATCAGGAGAAGGAAAGTGGGTCAACGTTTCAGGTCCATGACCCATTATCAGAACTGGGGGATGTTGGGAAGGAGAGGTTTTAAGGACTAACAGAGAGGGGAAGCGGGGCAAGAAAGACAAAGTAGAAAATGGGGTGCAGGACAGGCGATGATGGATTAAACAAGTGTTAATGATGCAAAACAAAGGAGGGCAGCAGAGGCAGACCAGAGAGAGAAAGGGTGAGTCTGGGCCCGAGATGATGTGTTAACAGTGACAGAAGAGGGAAAGGGGAGGGTAAGCTGAAAGGGAGCTGGGAAGATGGGAGCTGCTCTTATGGTCTGAAGTGGTGGAGAGGTCAGAGTGCAAGGGAGCGTTGAAGTAGCAAGCAATCGGAAGCTCAGGTTTGTGCTTGCGAACAGACATGCTCGGCAAATCGATCACCCAATCTAGGTTTGGTCTCCCCAATGTAGAGTGGACCACATCGTGAGCAGCGAATACAGTATACTATATTGGTGGTAGTACACATAAATCACTGTCTCACTTGGAAACTGTGTTTGGGGCCCTGAACAGTGGTATTGAAGGAGGTGAAAGAACAGGTATTGCATCTCCTGCGCTGTCATGGGAAGGTGCCGGGAGAGGAGAACAGGTGTTGGTAGTGATGAACCAGGGAATCGCAGAGGGAACAGTCAATTCAGAATGCTGAGGGGGGGGGGGAAATATATATTTATAACCAGCAAATAATTCTCCGCCATTTCCAACACCTCCAGCGTGATCCAACCACTAAGCATATCTTTCCCTCGCCTCTCAGCATTCTGAAGGGAAATTTTTCACACAGTGAGTTGTTCAGATCTGGAATACATTGCTTGAAAGGGTGGTGAAAGCCAATTCGATAACAACTTTTAAGAGAGAAGATAATTATTTTGGAAGGACAAGTTTGCAGGGCTATGGGGAGAGAGCGGGGGAGTGGGATTGATTTGGGAAGCTCTTTTCAAAGAGATGGCACAGACACGATGGGCCGAATGGCCTCCTTTTGTGCTGTATAATGCTATGAAAGGTGGCATCGTCAGAGCAGATGCGGGGGAGGCACGTGGAAAAGGCAATGGAGTCCTTACAGGAGGCGGGGTGGGAGGAAGTGTATTTCAGGTAACTGTGAGAGTCGGTGGGCTTGTGAAAGATATCTGTGGATAATCTATGCCCCGAGATGGAAATGGTGAAGTTGAGGAAGGGAAGGGTCGGAGATAAACTATGGGAATGTAATGAAGGGCTGGAAGGTAGAAGCAAAGTACGCGAATGTTTCCAGTTGAGTGCGAGAGCAGGAAGCAGTTCCAATACAGTCATTGATGTATCCGAGGAACAGGTTGGGGAGGGGAACTGAGTGTTCCAGGTGTGCTACAAACAGGCAGCCATGGCTGGGAGCCACGTGGATTCCCACAGCGACACCTGTTACTTGGAGGAAGTGGGTGGAGTTGAAGGTGAAGCTGTTCAACGTCAGAACACGTTCATGCGGGCGGAGGAGGGCGGTGGTGGATGGAGACCGGTCGGGGCCGCTGCTCCAGGTGGGAGCGGAGGGCCTGCGGGCCGTCCTGGTGGGGGAATGGAGGTGTAGAGGGATTGAAGGTCCATTGTAAATTAGGAGATGGTCAGGGCCAGGGATCTGCTTGTGGATCTTGGGGAGGAGTAGAGGCGGGGCTGTGCAGGGCTGGGAGACTGGAGGCTGTGTGAGGGGGGGGGGGGTAAGATCCCCAGAGCAGATGAGCTCATTGACGTCCTCGTTCATAGTGACTTGGTGTTCAGTTGTGGGCTGTTGGTCCGGGGGGGGAGGAGGGAGGTGGGAGGAGTTACCAGAGAGTTAGCGTTCAGCCTCCACCAGGAGGACAGGACGGTCACCAGTTGGGTCGTCGGGACATCCGACAAGTGCGGGCGTGAGCGCTGACTCGGTGCCAAGAGTCCCCCCCCCACCCCGGGAGCTTCCCGGTGGGCGACGCAGCTCAGCGGGAATTCCCTCCCGGTTATCCTGAACTCCTCCTCGAGCAGTTGTCACCACGTGGATGACGGGGGGTGTGGGGGGGGTCAGGCAACACCTCATCACTCGACGAACTGCTACGAGGCGCGGACCACCCCCGGGACCCCGCGCTCTCACACTCAAACCCCCACCCGCCGCCGCCGCCGCCGCGGGAACCGCTTTTTCTCGTCTTTCTTTTTTTGCAACTGAACGGAACCAGAACGCGGATTGCGAGAAGCGCCATCAGCTTCGGCTCTACCACCACCGACACCGACGCCGCCGCCGCCGCCGCTTTCTTCCTCTTATCAAACAATACACTATCAGGACAGACAGACGGACACTGCCGTTCTCGTCCTTTTTTTAAAAAAAAAGTACATGTTGTTAAGTAAACTGATGAAACTTTTCAGATGAGTCTGGGTCGACGCGGAACGAGCCCACACAGCTCACTCCCTCACTCACTCACTCACTCACTCACCCGCCCTCCGGCCACCATTGCTCTCCGCAACGGCCGCTCCTCTCCGCTTCCGAACGCCGCCGCTTTTGAAAACAGTCAGACGGTCCGGGGAGCCGCTCTCGCGCCGCTGCCCCCACCCCCCCTCCCCCCCGCGCGCGCGCGCACGCACACACACACACACACACAGGCGGCCGCTCCGCTCCGCTCGGCGCTCACTTCCGGGGACGCCGAGGAGTCCAGTCTGCGCCTGCGCGGTCCCGTGTCGGGCCGTCGCCCGGACAGTGTGTGCGGTTGTGTGTGGGGCCCGCGGACTGCTGCTGCTGCTGCTGCTGCTGTTGTTGTTGTTGTTGTTGTTGTTGTTGTAGTCCGACGGGGGTTGGAGAGGGGAAACGGTTGATACTGTGAACAAACTGCAGCCCGAACCTGTCGGCCCTGCCCAGCTCTCCCTACACAGGCACTGATCCCCCCCCACCCCCCATCTTGTCAGGTCCTGGGAGTCTGGAGCTGTCAGGACTTTGAGACATCCCAACGATGTGATCACAGGCAAATAAATGAAGGATTATTATTATTATAAACTCACAACTCCGCCCTGTTATGGATACAGACGCAGGTATTCTGAAGACTTTATATATAAGTATATATACACATATATATATATATATATGGTTAGAGCACTTGGCTCGCAAGCGGAAGGTCCTGGGTTTCAGTCCGGGCAGAGTGAAACTCTGAGCAAGTTTCCTTACTCCACGGACACGCCTCTGTTTGCTTCGCAGTGAGTAGGAACCCAGTCGTTAGTCCACTGGCGGATCACTTTTCCGAGGGTAATAATTCCTTCAAAAAAACTCGGTCACGCAATCCCACAAGTGTGCGTTGTGCGCAATTAACTGCCTGCCCACACAACAGGCAGTCACTACACTTTCCGTGACGCGCTTTGAGACGTCCGAAAGCCGTGATAAGGCGCTATATCAAATGCAAGGATTACCATGAAAACAAAAACAGGATTCGCTGGGAACGCTCAGCAGGTCAGGCAGCATCTATGGAGAGAGGCAAGCGAGTCAACTCAGTTCTGACAAAGAGTCATGGACATGAAACGCTGACTCACTTTCCTTTCTCCATGTGTTCCCAGCGACTTCTGTTTTTGTTTTCAGATTTCCGGCATCTGCCGTATTTTGTGTTTTGCAAGGATTATTATTATTACTGTGTAATCTACCACGAGGCTGGTTCAACATCGACTTGCATTTATAGATCTAAAAGAGGGGAAGGATATATAAAATATAAAATAAATATTATTATACAGTCTTGATATAACAGAGAGGAAGGAGGTGGCAAGATAGATATTCAATACTTATATTTATAATATATTCAATATTTAACAGATAGTTGCTCTACAAATACAAAGTCACTACACCACCCCCACTCCAAAGGCGAGGGTTATTATTGTCATCATTCTGAGCAGTAAAAAAAATGGTGATACTCTAAGGGAAGAACTGAACAATAAAATAAACTTGAAATAAAAGGTAATAATCCCTCCCCCCAAATCTGGTCCTTAATCCACAACACTTCTGTGCGCAATTGGCTGCCACATTTTGCCTGCAAATATACAGTCAATTCACTTTACAATATATTCTATGAAGCGCTTTTGAGACGTCTCAACGACGTGATAAGTCACTATATCAAATGCAAGGATTATTAAAACAGAAATAGCGGTGGCACTGACATGATAGTTCGAATGGCCTGCTTCTGTAATGAAAATTTCTATGATGTACCTTTATTTTAAAAAAAAAGTTTTCTCATTGATAAAGGATCAAATCTGAAATGATAACCTGCCTCCCTTGGCACATGCATTATTTTCTGTTTTTTTGGATCTGAATGTGTTATTTTTGTTTTCCCTTGAGTTTAATGCTTTGTTATCTGCATATATTCAAATAAAAGGTGCTACTTGTGTGGAATTGACTGTTCATACTAAGGAGCAAATTGCACAGAACTAAGATTTTAACACAGGTTATTTTATGTATTGATTACTGCTGAAGAAGATCCGCGCTTTCTAGTCATTGCAATTGTATTGCTGGTCTGTAGGGGTGAACTAAGAGTCTACACTCCAGAATAAGTTATACATCATAATTTACATTTAACAATTATATAGTGCCTCTCACTTCTGGAGGATGCCTCAAAGTGTTTAAAGCAGGAGGTAGCTTGGCAGACATTGCTCTCAATGGCAAGCTGTGTGGTTTTACCCAGTTAAACTCTAGCAGCAAGTATCCAAGTGCACAATCTGGCGCCTAACACTCAGAATTAGAAACGAGGAGTTCCCCTCTAGGGAGAATCTAGAATCCATTATATTCCTATATATAAGTGGCATACATATTTGAAACTTGTCTAATTTGAATACTTTTAATGATGGATTTCCCTATGTGTCAGACACACAGCTGACCAAAAACTATCGTACCCCACTCTTCCTCTCAGCTCATTCTCCATTTCGTAAACTCAGGTCAGCTGACGCTCTCTAACCCACCATTTATGGCCGAACCTTTCAGCATCTATCCCCCCACCCTTTGGAACGCCCTCTTACCCTCTGTCTTGTGCTCTATCTCTCTTTAACTATGCCTAAACTCTACCTCTTCAATGGTACCTATGAATATCTCCTCCCTTTATCAGCTTCCAACACCATCACTGTGAATCGCTCTAAGACATTATCCTAAATGGAGGGCACTACATAAACTTAAGTTGTTTATTCTGTTTCAACTTGGTGACATCTACTGAATCCATCACAAGCAAGTCATACCAAAGGTAAATTGCATCTTTACAAATAGGCTCTCTGGACCTGGTGTGACGCAAACAAGTCGTCTCTGTTATTAAAGTGGTAGGTCTCATCTTATTTCAGGTGCACCCATAGAGAGATTTCCCGTTGCTTGTCCAGCTAGGACCACCCTACCTGATAGGACTTTGGCTTGTAAGGTTAATGGGAGCTAAGTGGGAAGAGTCCCTGCCCCAATTGACTGGTCTGTCCTTCGAGGTCCAGTTGATAATTCAAGAACCTCATCCTCACCTACAAGGCCATTCACGGCCTCGCTCCCTCCTACCTCTCCGACCTACTATCTCCCTACCTACCTGCCCGTACCCTCCGTTCCTCTGGCTCCGGTCTGCTCCACATCCCCCGCCCCAACCGCCCTACCATCGGTGGCCGGGCCTTCAGCCTCTCAGCCTTCAGGCTCTGAACCTCCATCCCCCAGTGCCTTCGCCGCTTCCTCCCTTTCCTCCTTCAAGGCTGGTCTCAAGACCTTTCTCTTTGACCGTGCCTTCAGCTCCCCTCTTGACCCTCTACCCCCTCCTCGCTCCTTCCCTCCCCTCACCATTTTCCCCCCAAGGCTCGGGTCCTGACCCAACTGTCCAGTGCCTTGGGACGTCCTCCCGACGTGAAAGGCGCTCTATAAATGGAATCTTGTTGTTGTTGTTGTTGACAAGCCAGCCGAGCTGTGCTGTCACTAGCAGTGTCCTAGAGTATTATGGAGCCTGGCTCAGGAACAGGACTATTGAGACTGCCATGGAGGGTGGGTTTGCTTTGCAAACTGCCATCAACAAATGTTGTAGTGGGAAGGCATCCCAATCCCTGCACTTTCTTCCTGCTGCTTTGTCCACTGGTATTGTTCCCTCTGATGCTGCCTCTGTTGAATATGATCACCTCCACAATCATAAAATAAACTTTTTTCCATGCACTTCTGTACACATGAATACTTCATACATGTGTGTTCATTCAAATGTCTATTTGTTAAAGTAGGGTGTGTTTGATACCTCCCCATCCAGATTCTGCCTGTCCAGTTGCTGCCACCCATTCCCCCCAGCACCGAGATATAGCCCTGAGTAAATTCACAAATCATAAATCACAAATTCATATCCTTTCAGTCTGTGAATGGGATTCCATGTATCTCCTCATCGTTCTCAAAGTCTGTTGCCTTCAACATCGCCTTTCCTCCTTGCTGTTCCCTGGTGGCACTGTTCTCTCTTGATTCCACTCTTACAAATTTTCCTCAGAGATCTATCCTCGGTCCACTCCTCTTACCTATATGATCCCCCTTGGTGACATTGTCCACAGGATTAGGGTGAATCTCCACGTGTGTAGGAATGATACTTTCTGTCTCCATCGTCGAATCCAGGATCATTGCTGTTTTGAATGACTGCCAGTTGGACATCAAATCCTAAACGAGTCTTACCTTCTGTCAACTGAACATCAGCAAAACCAAAGTCGTCCTGCTTGGCTACTGTCAGCACTTCATCACATCTAGCTTCAACAATTACAAAGATTACAAAAAATGTACAGCACAGAAACAGGCTACTCGGCTACACCAGTCTGTACTGGTGTTTATATTCCATTGAGTCTTCATTCATTCCTTACTTCCTCCTATAGACTTCTATCGCCCTCTCTCTCATTCAACCATCTGTATGAACCTCCTGGTTGCTTACTGCTGCTCATGGAATCATTGTGCAATCTTGGCATTTTTGGTCGACTCTCAACTCTCTTTCAAACCCTATAATTATCAGTGGCTGAGCTTTAAGCCACCGTGCCCTGGTTTCTGGAACTCTCTCCCCCAATCCCACTGTCTTATAATCTTCGCTGTTTGCTTTCAAAACTTTTGTAAAAACCTACCTTTTCAACCTAGCCTTTGGTGGACTTTCTCCTTCCCCGGCCACTTCTCCCACTTTGCTCAGGTTTCTATTTTTTCCCTGTGAAACACTTTGATATGTTTTCCTACATGAAAGGTGTTCATTTGACATCCATAAAATCTTTGGAATTTGTATGTATAAGTGGGATGCATGCAACTCTCAGTTTGGTTTGGATATTCTTAAGCACAGTGGTGGGTTTCCGCATGTGTCGTCTGACCCCCACAAAAATGTAAGGTGTTGTATTGAGTGCAAGTTGTGATACACATCGCTCTACTCAACTCTCCGTATTTACATGAGCCCAAATAATACCTTTGGTTATGAGGAGTGAGGGCTTCAGTTTGTGAGTTGTTGTTCCAAGAGGTTTCAGTTGTAAGTCCAGTCCACTTTTTCTGATGCACATAGGATGGTTAGGTTAAATTCATTAACTTAGCCAGCAGCTATAAGCTGGTGGCTAAGTGATATATATTGCGTTTAGACATGAGTTA